ATAATATTTACTGGAAGTTCTGATACATAAGGCTTAACAGCAGCGATTTTCCTATCTGTACTAGAAATTGTTTTATATTCTACACTAATATTCACTATTGACACTGGCTGAACTCCAACTCCTTTAATATCACACTTTATAATTTGAGTAATCCAATTAGATGACCAGCCATCTTTCTTAATAATAGTAATATCTGATCCAGTATCAACCAGACCTTTGAAAGATCTATCTTGAATTTTAAAATTAATATGAGGCTGTTGTGCTTGCAGCATCAGAGCCCAATTGACTGAAATAGGATTAGTACTTCCAAACCCTTCAATCTGTTTTTTTGGAAGAGGATCCTATAGGTATAAAAGGAAGAAGAATTAATTGAGCAATGTTATCCCCTACTGTAATAGGATATGAGCTATTGGTAGTAATCAAAATTTGAATTTCACCTTCTTTGTAGAGGCAGCTAGTGGAGCCTCCGAAGAGGTAGCCTCTTGAAATTCCTTAGCAGCTTTATTTTTTAAATCCTCTGGGACATCATAAATATTAACTGCTCCATTAGAAGTGCAAATCACCTGAGCTGGTGACAAGCTATTTGGACCTTGATTAATTAATATAATAGCTGCTCTGATGAGTGCCCACACAGACCAAAAATCAAGTGGTATTATTTCTCCTGTCTGAAATGCCTTTTCCACATTTGTTCTGACTCTGTCCCAGACTTCCAAATCTAAAGTTACTGTATAAGGAAACCATGAATTAAACTCTACAACTATTTGCAGACAATTATCTATCTGTTTTCTGGAAACTTGTGCACCATTACTACAAAGAATATGATGAATTAAAGAAACAAAGGGGCAGACTTACCTTGTCCCATTACCCTGCAAATAATTTTTACTTAAAAAATAATTTTCTGTAAACCAACTGGTGCCAGCTGGTCAAAATATCCACCACCTCCTCTGGATGACTTTTTACTTACTTGAACTGCAACTCTATCGGCACCTCTTCTTGGGTGCAATGTCTGGGTCCCTGTTTGGGTGCCAACTGTCATGGTTCAGTGACCACAATTCCAGCCTGATGGGCTTGGGGACCCCAAAATATAGGTGCAGGAGGAATCAGGAAGCAGGGGATGCAATGGAGTGTGAACCAGCACATGCTTTATTCTAAGAAGCAACCTTATTTATAGTAAACCAAGAGGAAAAGAAAATGTTCTTCTCAAGCCAAATTGTCTCATTCTAATATTTGCAGTACCTTCCTGATATCTTCAAGTTCCCAGGGCTCAGCCCTTTTTGGAATCTTATCCATCTTTGTAGCTTTATTATACAAGCTTACTTATGTACCTTTAACAGGGTTCAAGGAACAGTTAGTCTCATGATAAGAATAACTTCAGGCCAAGAACATTCAAGTCATCAGGGAGGAAGCGTTCTTCCTCCTTACTTTCGGTGTGCCAAGAGTAACTGAGGCCTCTTGTTCAAGCTCTGAGTTTTTTTCAGATCAGAGATCAGACCTTCACAAGAACTTTGGTAGAGGGCACCCTCCTGCCCCCCACCATTTGGCAGTAAAAACCCTGGAGCCACACATGCCTATAACTAATAAACAGATTTTTTTGGAATACCTGCATTATGATGTAAGTTGAATGAACCCTGGGAATATGAAGATGAGATGCTGTTTCTGCTCTTAGGAAGTGGATCTTCCAGTCAACCTTTCACCTTTACCTTACTCCAATCCCCACCACATCCTCATGGCAACTCAGCTCTGTTCTGACTTTATTCTGTGTCTCAGATGTGGGCTTGTGGTTCTATTTCTGTGATGTTCCTTTGTCTCTTCCTTGCTGCTGATTTTCCCTGGTCTAGTTATATATGCTTATTCAAATAAGTACTGCCTCCAGGCGATTAGCCCTGGGCCCCCTGTCTCTACTGGGAGAAACAATTGCATTCATTATGATTTCTTGGGAAGAAGAAAATATGGAAAGCTTGATTTTCACTATGTATCTTATGAGATAAATATGAGAACTGAATGATTGTTTTTTGTTGTTTTGTCTTATTTAAGAATCACATACGAGGACTGTACTTATATCATTTTCACTCCCTTTTCCTCCCGCTCCAACTCATTGCACCTCCCCCTATATCCCCTCTCAATTTCATGACCTCTTCTTTGATTATTACTTTTGCATATTCACACATACTTACATATATATTTATAATCTACTGAGTCCTTTTAGTGGTGCTTCTGTGTACATGTGTTTTGGGTTGACTGCTTGGAATTGGATAACCTATCATAACTTCTCAGGGAGCCCATTCCGGATTCTCTCTCTCTCTCTCTCTCTCTCTCTCTCTCTCTCTCTCTCTCTCTCCATTGATTGCCTGTAGCTCTTCATTTAGAGGTAGGATCTTGTGAAATTTCCCCTTCCGTGTTGGCATGTCAGCTGGTAGTATCATTATGTAGGTCTTGATTAGGTGACCATAGTGTTGAGATTTCATGGATGCATGTTTTGAAGATACTGTTTAGCAGCAGGCATGTGGTCTTTTGGCTCTTATAGTCTTTATGCCCCCTCTTCTGTGATGTTCCCTGAAACTTAGGTGTAGGGGTTGCATTGTAGATGTATCATTTGGGGCTGGGCACCCCGAAGTCACGTATTCTCTGTATTTTGACCTATTGTGGAAGTTTTTAATAGTCTACATCTTTTGCAAAAAGAACTTTTGGTGTGTGGTGAGAGCTTCCTTTGTCTATGGATGTAAGGGTAAGTATTTAGAATATGTAAGAAAGTATATTGGTTTAGGAAAGTTGCAGTACTATGTTCTCCTCTGGGACCTTTCCAGACATTTAGGTAAGCCCTTATTGCTGAAGACACCATACACTTAGGTCTCAGGACTTGGAGAAATTGATCGGGACTGAACTGGAAACTTCCTCCCTGAGGAAGAGCTCGCATAGTATCTGAAATTGCTATGCAAGCTGTCAAGGGAGAAAAGCAATCAATAGTCCTACCCAGCTGCAATGCCCACAAATTGCAATGACCATCCTGGCAAAGTATCCCTAATGGGGGCTGGAGAGATGGCTCAGTGGTTAAGAGCATTGGTGGTTCTTGCATAAGACCCGGTTTTGAAATCTAGTATCCACATGGAGAGTAATAACCATTTGTAACTCCAGTTCCAGGGGATTTGATGCCCTCTTTTGTCCTCCAAGGGCACTGCATGGTATGGGTGCACTTACATACATGCAGGCATAACACACACATAAAAATAAATAAATAAATAAATAAATAAAAATTTAAAAAACCATCCCTCATGGTAGCACTTTTAACGTTAGCGTAATCAACTGCTGTCTAATTGGACTTAAGGTCTGCTTAACAGGAAAGAATCAATGCCTGATACTGACTGAATTTTGAATTCTGACTTAAGACTAAATATGAAGACATGGCAAATCCAATAGGACAATAACTAAGAAAACATAAAATGTAGCTCATCACTTTGAAGAAGTTTTTAGTAGACTGTTTCAGCCCTAGAATAAGGAGGTGCAGTAGCAAAGGTCACCACAGACTCCTGGAAATAAGGCTGAGTTTTCAGCTGTCTTTTCTCTACCATGAAGAGCAGGCAGTGCACAGTGATGAAGGGGCTGCAACTGGCGTGTGCTCCTCAGAGTTAGTAAGGGACTGTTAAAATCACCTGCTATAGAGATAGGCACTCCTTAGGCAGGCAGGTGTGGGGCCATGTATACCCCATCAGTTGGCACTCAGACTGATAAGACATGTAGCTTTCAGTCAAACAGAAGAGCTATCTGACCTCCCCAAGACTCTCTTTTACATGACTCGGTTGGATTCTCCAAGAAAATGTGGATTGTTGAGGCTCATGTTAGTTATAGTAGTAGTTTAGTAGCTGAGTGCTGATACCAGGAGGCTTTCATTTTGTTTTGAGTCAAGGTCTCCCATAGCCCAGGCTCACCTTGAACTCCTGCCTTTATCAGCCAAGAGTTGGGATCACAGGTATGTACCACCACACCCCATGAGGCACTTTAAAAAGAATACATTTCCCTCTCATAATGCCAGAAAATTATAGAGTTAACTTTTTATCATTGAAGTGCATATACCACACAGGAGAGGGTTTAGTGTCAGTGTTGGCTGCTTGCTGTCCTCTGTCTTACTATAGAGTAGCAAAGGTTAAAGGTACAGGAGTTCGCCGTTCCTTTACTAAGCATTCTGTTTTGGTCTTCTCTTAAGCAGGCACTGCGTCAGTCTGTGACAGCACGAACCCTCACTGTCTCTGTCTGTAGTCAGTATTTAAGGCTGATAGATGTTTAATGCTTGTTAAGTTTTCTGGAGCTGCTTCAGTCTTTTTCTCTTTCATCTTTTCTACTGCACAGGTAGGTCTCTGACTTCTTTATTAGCTGAAGATGACTTGAACCTCTGATCCTTCGCTTCTTTCTTTCAAATGCTGGGATTACAGGTGTGAGCTACCACACCTAACATCCTGTCTTAAAACAGTGAAGTAACATTTCCTAATTAAGGAAAAGTGATAGGGGAAATAAGCATCTGTTTACTTCTCTTGGTTTAGAAATGGTAGGATTTCTAAGCCAGGTTTAGCTTGTTCTTTGGAAGGTCCTTCAGTGGTCAGCCACTCATAGGCACATATTGTCCTCACCCAGAAAAGACCAGCACTTCACTGAAACCAATCACCTGGTCAAAATGGTAACTGAGAAGCTGAATTTCTGTATCATAGTTACTGTGCAGTTCATATCCTGTTTTTGTTGCATTGCCCAACACCTGCATGCTTGACCTTTAGGGGAATGAAGAGGAAGCCCCTTTTAAGAGCCTCTTTTGGAGTGGTGAGGGTTGGTGTGAAGATGGCGTGTCTTCAGGGACAGTCATCCTCCTCCTCTGCTCACCTGCATTAGGAATATTGCTGACAGCCACTGCTGCCAACCAGTGAACTATTTGTATGCTGGAGCTGTGTGTCTGCAGGACATTGCCTCCAGTCTTGCAGTTAAAAATGCCTGATGGAGCCAGGCTTGATGACACAGGCCTATAATCCCAGCTACTTGGAAGGTTGAGGCAAGAGTTTGAAAATTAGACTGGTTAGGGTTTCAAAATGAGTTCAGAGGTAGTCTGGGCAACTTAATGAAATGTTGTCCCAAATAAAATATATAAATGGGGCTAAGAAGATGGCTCAATGGGTAAAGGCTCTTGCCACCAAGCATGACTACCTGCATTTGGCCTCTGATCTCCATACCATGCCACTACCCCAAATAAATAAATAAATAAATAAATAAATAAATAAATAAATAAATAAATAAATAAATGTAATAAAACATTTTCATGTAAAAAGTACTGGAGATATAGTTCAGCGATAGAGCATTTGCTTGACTTGAACAAGTCCTTAGGTTCAGTCGACTGTTGTGCAAGGTAAAAAAAAAAATCAATAGATGAATAAGTAAAACCTAAATAGTACTGCATGTTTGCACTTCCTGTCCATTACAGAACATAGTGGAAAATGTATGGTATTTACTCTATTTCTCTGCTTTACTGTCCCTTCCCTTCCTTCCTTCCTTCCTTCCTTCCTTCCTTCCTTCCTTCCTTGTTTTTTTAATAGTCTCTGTACTGAGCTTGTCGACTATCCAGGCATTTTGTCTTCCATAGGGTTTTTTTAATAGCCTCTGTACTGAGCTTGTCGACTATCCAGGCATAACGCTATGCAATATCTACCCAGGACCCGTGCAGTCTGACATCGTGAAGAACGCCCTAACTGAAGAAATCACTAAGGTAAAAAATCCTGGTAGGAAAGAATTTGAGTCCTTTACTCATTACATCTGTTTTATCTTATAAGCCAGGTTTTTATTCAGAACTGCTCATTAAAACTTCACAGAAGGAGTGACAGCATTGTGAAAATGGCTAAATTAGTATTTCAACATCCCATTTGAATAAAGTCTAATCAAATCGCTAAACTGTTACTTATAAGTGGCCTTCTGTTAATATGCCCACTATTGCTATTGAGAAGCTCCCTTTATCCTTTTCTGTTTCACTCCCATGATTCCATTTGCTAAGTACAAGTCTTGTGTGTTTGTGTTGTAGGGGACTGATACGGGCCTCACCCATGCTAGCTATCCATTTTACCTCTAGGGTATACATCTCCAGCCCCTGATATATGTCTTAATAATTTGTTATTTCTAAGAATGTAATAAGATACATTCTTAGATCTAATTAACAAGTGGCTGTGAGGTGCCCAACACTAAGTGTTGCATCTACAATGTATCCTCTACACTCAAGGATCAGGGAACATCTCAGAAGAGGTAGTGGAAGGAATATAAGAGCTAGAGGTACAAGATACCTGCTGCTAGTTAATGCATTGTAGACATGATAGGAAGGTGCATCAATGAAATCTCCACAGTATGTTAGTAAGGAGATCTACATAATGAAAAAACCAGTTGACATGTCAAGGTGGATGGGGGAATGTCACAAGGTCAGACCTCAAGATGAAGGGCTATCGACAATCAATGGATGCTGAGGGAGGGAAAATCAGTTTTCTCTAGGGACTAGATCCCTCGGGAGGCTATCTAATCACAAATGGACAGCACTAAAGTGAACACCACTTAACTGACTCAATGCATTAAATATATATATGTATATTTATATAAGTATGTATATATATGTAACAATAATAAACAAAGAAGAAGACAAGAAAGTGCTGGGAATGGGGGGACATTGGAGGAGTTGGATAGGGGCTGGGAGGCATACAAGTGATGCAAATAT